ATTCCTGCTTCATATAATAATCTGTGTTTTTCAATAGCTTCCGGACTCTTTCAGAAAAGGAAATCTACTCATTTTATTCTCCTATTATATTCCCTATACAGTATTAATAGTTATATCACATATATCAATAGTTTAGTTTTATTTGTTTGTGATCAGTGTTTGTTCTCCTTACCATCCATTCCATTTACATTTCTGGATACTGCTCAAAAGGAATAGACACTATTAAGAAGGAAAGGAAGAGAAGGAAATTTGCATCCACTTTGTGGCTACCATGCACCAGGCACTGTATTCCTTCCTTCCTCCCTCTCTCCCCAGTGGCAACATGTGTAATGAGAATGCACCATTCTAGGTGCTGAGGTACAAGGGTGAACAAGAGGAAAAAGCCTTGCTATCGTGGCACTTAGATTCTGGTGGCAAAGACAGAGAATAAACAAACTTTTAAAATAAAAACATAAAGAATACCCGGCAGTGATAAGTGCTACAGGTGCCAAAGAGACACAAGGTAGTCAGGGACACCCTCTCTGAGGAGAAACCTGAATGAAATGAGAAGTGAGCCAAGAGGATATCTGGAGGTTCGACATTCTGGCCGAGAGAATAGCTGGTATAAAGTCTCTGGCATATTCCAGAAGCCTCAGGGAGGCGAGTGGCTGAGCACAGTGACCAGAGAGTGAGGTGGGAGAGGGTTGATAACAGGAGAAAGATGTGATCCAACTTCCATGTTAGAACGATCACTCTGGCTACCGTGTGAAAAGCAGGTTATCTGGGGGGCAAAGGTGAAAGCAGGTAGACCAGCTGGGCGAGAAGAGATGACAGCAGCTTAGACACTGCTGGGAGGGAGAGAAGTTAGGAGAAGGAGCTGCATTGAGATATGTTTGCTAAAGACATTTGCTGAAGGATGAGGTGTGGGATGTGAGAGAAAGGAAGGACTAAAGGATGATTCCAAGGTGACACAACTGGGTGACCGGAGATGGAGAGCAGTGGAAAAGGGGGAAATCAAGAGTTTGACTTGGGATGTCTTCAATTATTACAGAAGAACTCGAAACACTATTCACTAAGTATTAGGCACAGTTTAGAGATTACAAAAAAGAGAGAATCAGAGATATAAAATCAAAGCAAGTGTGTGGACAGTCCCTCTGTCTCCAAAGGCCATGGCCTTTCCACCCACCAAGGCTCTGTCCGGATGCCATCCAGCTGCAGGGCTGGGTGCATCTCTGAGACACACTATGGTCTTACAGGACAACCCAACTCAAATCACTCCAGTCCCCTTCAAAAATACGGCCTCATCTTTCCTCATTAGAATTACCCACGATAACTGACACTTTCCTTGATACTTTGAAGCCTTAGCTATATTTTTTTAGGGAAGGTAGGTCAATACAGGGTTAAGATCATGGGCTCTGGAGAAGGCCTCCTGGGTTCCAACTGTAATTCTGCTAGCTATGAGATCTGCACGCTCTTCCTACTCTTATTTTATGAAATTATAAAATCTGATCAGGGAAATGGTAGTTTTACACCCAAATAGTTTGTGAAATATTACCAGGACACATTGTTACAGGGAAGTGCTCTTCTCAAAGTCTGAGAGTAATTTTGGGCTCACGCTCATCATGCCCTGAATAGAAAACAGCATGACCTAATCTATTACCTCAGACCATCAGCCACATGTAGTGCAATCCTGTGTTGCAGCGTTCTGGTGAGACTGGCTTTGTCTTGTTGAAGCAGGCGATCCAGGGAACCCTTAGAGGCTAACTCCATCACCAACATTCGAGGACGAACCCCAGCTGCCAGCAAAGATATTAAGCTGGGATGATGGAGGTGGCAAAGCACCACCAGCTCCTGCAAAGTCAAGAATCATTTCAGAGTCATAGACAATCAGCTTTTACCCAAGTGTCTCCCTCCTTAAGCCCATCAACAATTGGAGCACAGTTTTCCCTGAGTGACTGGATTATAGCAAACTTTCCATTTCTTCTTTGAGCTTTTTTACATTTTCCACATTTTCAGAATTAAACCACTGGTTTTGCAACCATATTCTGAATTAAAATTTTAAGTTCTGTTTTTCCGTTTGCTCTGCTTTATCAGAACATTTAATGCTAGGACAGGACACACATTGTGGCACACTAATAGGTCATGTCAGTCTTACCTACTGAATCCTCCTTAGCCACAGAATCCTTCTCAGCCCAACATCCTGAGCAGCCACTACTAATCAACTGCACTTTGAGGCATGTGAGGTACAACCTGCCTATTATCTCTGGTTTAATGACTAGAGAGTTTTCTGGAGAGAAATGTCTAAGTCTAAAGAAATGTATAGCATTGCCCCTGTCTGAAACTCTCTAATGACTTCCTGTTACTTTTATTGGGTTGGCCAAAAAGTTCGTCTGGCTTTTTCCACAAGGTGTTATAGAAAAACCCAAACGAACTTTTTGGCCAACCCAATAGATTAAGATCCCATGCACTTACACAGCCATCGTAGCCTGACCTGATCTGCCTTAGCCCATCTTTCAAACCTCATCTCCTTTCTCTCTCTTCCTTATTCACCACCCTTCTGCCACACTGGTGTTCATTAAAGCCCCAGCACCGCACACATCCAGCTCCTTCCTTCTAGCCACAGAGTCTTTGCCCTTGCTGATCCCTCTGCCTAGAAATCCCTTCACCCTTCACACAGCTAAAGGCTTCTTGCCATTCAGATCTTAGCTCAAAACTCTTACTTCCTCAGAGTGACCTGCCTTGGACCACCCTTACTAAAGAAAGCAATCACCAGGTGCAACAACCTCTCTCTAATCCAAGAAGTTAGCTGGAACAGAGAGGTCTCCAATCTGATTCCTAGGCCACATCTTGTGAGACTTTACAACCTGTTTCATGATACTGTTGTTTTGAATTCCAAACACGTTATTCTGTATATTTCACTCTACTCTGAAAACTGTATTTAGTTGAAATTTATAGCTTCTGTGGTATTAAACTGATTCATGTTTTTTGTTTTTGTTTTTTATTTTTTTGCGGCACGCAGGCCTCTCACCGCTGTGGCCCCTCCCGCCGTGGAGCACAGGCTCTGGACCCGCAGGCCCAGTGGCCATGGCTCAAGGGCCCAGCCGCTACACGGCACGTGTGATCCTCCCGGACCAGGGCACGAACCTGCGTCCCCCGCATTGGCAGGCGGACTCCCAACCACTGCGCCACCAGGGAAGCCCTGATTCATGTTTTAAATTATGATTTATGCAGAAGCTCTGCTTCTTAACAACCAGCTTCAAAGATGAGTATCAGTGCCAACTGCATTTATCAGGAAACTGATGTGTGAAGAATTCTGCAAGCTGAAGAATAAAGGCTCAGCGCCCCGAGAGGGGAGTTTTCAAGAACACGGACCTCAGACTGCAATCATACTTCCTTAGTAGATAAAAATCTTTTTATCTTCTATGTCTGATTAGCTCAGTTGGCTAAAACTGATGAGAACAAGTCAAGCTAGCTTTGTTTTCTTTCATAAGCACAGACTGGAGCCTAATCCAAATTTCCTATCCTAGTAAAACAGCTCACTGATTGCAAAGAGAAAGGAACAAAAAGAGTGTAACAGATCAGCCCCGATTCATGACCACAGGTAGAATGACCCTTAAAATGCAGCACTGAACACTGAAGTGTTTTCCTTTCCTTTTCTTTTTTTCTAAAGAGGCATATTACACACACTCCATTGTTTCTATTTCTTCTACCATTTCCCTGGTTCACCTAGCTGCCCATACACTAATCAGTCCCATAAACCTTTCTAGTGTTCTGATTTCCAACAAGGTTCCCTGAGCACATTACATAAAATTTGAAACATATTGAAGACTAATGATCAAGACTGAAAAATTACAATTAATACAACAAACTGCCTACAGATAGAAAGAGATTGTGCTCAGATTTGGTTCACTGACTTATGAAATATTATATACAAAATATTTATTAGCTTATTCCTAGAGCTACAGTGTAATTTTTGGGACTAATAATCAAAGTTACTCCAGGATATTTTACACAGACATGAAATTATTTTCATTATTCAGAGTAACTAATATATTGTAACTGTATTTTTTTTGTTTATATAAGTTATTTAGATTCAGATTCAGGCACAATTTTTTTTAATAAATCAAGAAAAAAATAATAATGAATAAATTCAAAAATATGGTTGAGTTCTTGTGTAAGACTGCAGAATTCACATGGATTTTTATCTCTCCTCTCACCCTGTCTCTCTCACTCATTCCTACTGTTAGGAAAGAAAAAAGAAATAAATCCCCACCAGTATTCAAAACAAGAGAGGGTACTGGAGTGACCACTCTTGGTTATGCATTCAATCAACTTTCACTCTTCCTAACAGTACCCTGACTTTTGCTGAGGTATCCAACCCTCAGCCAAGCAGCCCATGAACTTTAAGGGGAACTGACCCCAATCTCAGCTTCAGGGAAAGGTGGGGATATTTTAAATAATACCCTGCTCATTATCACCGTGATTGGTTCAATAACACAGGCCTAAGCCAATCAGCAACAGTACTGCCCTGAACATTGGTGCTTGCCGAGAAAAGAACGTGTGACTTAACTGAGGCCAAGAGAAGTTTTTAAACGGACTACTGTTGTATGGATTTTGGTTCCTTTGAATTACAAAAATGCAAAAAAGGTACCCTCTTTTCTTCTGTGCTTGTAAAGCCTGGAACAAAAATTCTCAGAATACTGTCTTTGTTTTTCAACAGGAGAAACCTATTTCACTCCATAAAGAAAGGACAAAAGTAGGATTTCATAACTAAACTCAAGTAAACTTTGAGGGAAAATGCGGTAATTACAAATGCATGCAAAACAGGAGTTCCAGGAGATTAACAACGTATGATTTAATGTAATAATATTGTTGCATTTCTTACTTGTCTTAACAGTCTAAGTGATGTATGTTTATTAAAAATCTTCACAGCCACTTCTTCTCCTTCATAGGACGCTCGATAAACAGATCCAAAACTGCCGTCACCTTTTGAAAAGAAAGTACAAAGCACTTAGGTTAATCTGTGCAAGCAGAAAAACTCAATAAATTGTATCTTTTGTAATTATATCTGTTTCAAAGAGAAATATGACCCACTAGTTTCACTGAATCAAGTCTCCTTTAATGCTTTCTCTTCCTTCTTCTACTCCATGAACTAAGATGGAGTTTCAGGGGGAAACGAAGGCTACAGTAACAGTTAAGTATTGGATTCAAAATAGGATTGGGCAAATAGAAGAAGGAAAAGAGAAGGAAAGCAAGTGGAGGGGGAAGAGAGACAAGAAGAGATGGCGACTTAAATAATAGACATATCCTGCTCTGATTCCCTTCAATCTGAACAAATACTGACAACAAAGAAAAAATTTAATGAGCAGAGAAAAGAAATACACTCTAGGGAAACATAAAAATTTCAGGTGGGAGTAGTAGAGATTTCTAATTTTTTAAAGCCCTTCCCTATTTCATAATCACTGCCATATTAAATTGGAGTATGGGCTGTCGTACCCTTCAGGTAACTAAGAGCAAAAATAAGGTTAAGGACTGCTATTGTGTACTTGTGACACAAAGCTGTGAAAAAATTGACAAATAATACCACTGAAGTATCTTCTATTGTGCTCTCTGGAAAAATAGTCCCTTAAAGAGGATATGTACCCCCTCCCATAACTCTTCAGATAGACAAACAAAACCCCATATATGTGTATTTTAAAATATTCAGTTGAGCCTTGCACAACATACAACATGGGGTTAGGAATGCAGAAGCCCCGAGTGCAGTGGAAATTTTGCACACTGCTGTCTCTGCCTCAAACACAAAGGAACTGAAAACTGTCTCACCCAAGGAAAGGAAGCTGAAAACAGTTTGGATACAATCAGGACTCAAACCCTAGTTCTTTTGATTTCACACACTATAATCCCTAATTGAACACAAACTTCTCCCTACATTTAGTTAAAGATCTGTAAAAGAAAAATACAGGTACTGTATTTAATGAAAAAAAGTTGCAGATAAGTGGACCCATACTGTTCTAATCTGTGTTGTTCAAGGGTCAACTGTATTTACAAAAACAAGTCTACTAATATTCACAAATCTATTAATATGTGTCATATTAGTCACTGCCTAATAGTAACTGCTATCTGGGAAGGAAAGGGTTAACTGAAGCCCTAAAATTCACTCCTGTCCCACAGAGAAAATGCGGAAGGGAGGGAGATGAATGACCTCCCCCAGAGCATCCCAGCATAAAGATACCAGGGTGTTTCTGATTGTAAAATGTTTTTAGAAGGATTTATCTGATTTGTTCAGATCAGTGGTTCTCAACTAGGGTGACGTTGCTCCCTATCCCCAGCCCCCACCTTTGACAGTGTTTGGAGACATTTTTGATTGTCAAATCTGAGACAGGGGTGAGGGGATACTACTGACATCTAGTGGGTAGCAGCCAAGGATGCTGCTAAACACCCTGCAATGCACAGGACACCCCTCATAACAAAGAATTATCAAGTCCCAAACAGCATCAGTGCAGAGGTTGAGAAACCCTGACCTAGATTGCTTTTTGTATAATAAATAAACATGGAATCTATGAGTTTATGGGAAATGGGGCTAGAGAATGGGGAGTACTCATAAACATTTTCCTATCTGCATAATTAAAGAATATAAAACACAGGTGCTTTTGAAGGTGGTCAAAAGGTACAAACTTCCAGTTATAAGGTAAATAAATACTAGGGATGTACTGTACAACATGATAAGTACAGTTAACACTGCTGTAGGTTATGTATGAAAGTGGTTAAGAGAGTAAATCCTGAGAGTTCTCATCACAAGAAGAAAAATACTTTTTTCTTTTTCCTTTATTTTTTATATATATGCAATTATGGATGTCAACTAAAGCTACTGTGGTAATCGTTTCACCATACATGTAAGTCAAGTCATTATGCTGTACACCTTGAACTTATACAGTGCTATATGTCAATTACACCTCAATAAAACCGGTGGAAAAACACAGGTGCTTCAAAAATGAACTTTTTGAACATTTCTACATAACATTGCTCAAAACATGTCCATTAATCTGAAACATAACTTAGTGCACTAAAAGGGTATATTTGGGGGAGCTGTATCTGATGGCTTGAGACTCTTTCAGAGAAAGAAAATAGTATGTCTGGTACTTGCCTGTATCTTTCAAATCACAAGTCAAGTTTGGTGTTAAGATTCAGTGTTAACAATTCAGCGTTTTGCATTAGCCTACTATTACTAATATATTCACTCCCAGAGTGCAAAGGCGTTTAAAATCATTCAAAATTTCCCAATCAATGTAAAGAATAAAGGTACAAAGGAGTTTATTTACCCCTACATGTCATATCCCAAATTTTGGACATTGTTAATAATATTAATATCCTGACACATCGTCTAGTCATTCTCTCTGTGGAAATTTAATTAAAATAAAATGTATACACACATAACAACAACAAATACTCCACAAAGTGAAGTCAGAATTGTCTTCAAATACTTTACATTAAATCAACTCAATACTCTCCATAGCTCCCAAGTATTCTCAGGAATGTTTAGAACTTGAGTACATCACCAATTTAATGCTTCTGAATTTTTAATCTCAAATTGGCTTTTTATGAATATTTTAATGAAAATTTATGATTGTCATACTTAGCAACAAAATTGCTACAATGACTACTTAGAGGTGTTCTTCCTTTACTTATTCTTTTTGCGACTGAAAAATGGCTGCCATTACTCAACTGAAAACTTCCTAAATGCCTGCCCTATCACTGAAAACTAAAGCAAATGCAAAATTTCATAAATATGTGTGCTTCCATGGTGGTCCCATTCTCAACTCAAACCCAGCCTACAAAAGTGTTGGGTTTTTTTTTTGGTCGTGTCGTGCCACATGCAGGATCTTAGCTCCCTGGCCAGGGAATCAAATCCGCACCCCCTGCAGCGGAAGTGCAGAAACTTAACCACTGGACCGCCAGGGAAGTCTCAACATGATATTACTTTAAAATATATTATCCCAAAGGAAAAAACATTACAAAAAATATATGAAGACACTAAAAACTATGACAATATAATTATATGTAAATATTTTCTAGATTATAAATAAAAGCTGCACTCTAATTTTTATTCTCAAATCAACAAAAATAGTTACCTAAAAGAAACTCTGGAGCTTGTTCAAATTCCAATTCATCATTATTTAACATAATATTTCTAGGCAGGTCAGCCAAAATCAAGTCAGGAGCAATCTGAGATATTGGAATGGTGAGCCTTGGTTGATCTGGATTCACTAGGAGGTCTCCTGAGAAGTACATAAAACATTTTTTTTTTAAAGGCAAACTTTTAAGGTTGTACATAAGTTTGTCCTTTTGATTTACAGAAATAATCACATATTTTCTATGATTTCTAATCACTCTTTTAGGTTTTCTTACCAATCTTATTTTTCTCTAGAAACTCTGAGAAAGTTTTAAAAGTTGAATTAATACCCATCTACTAGGAATTTTAAATACTCATTCCTAGGTTCACTCACTAGAAAGTAGAATTCAGAACTGCCTTAGACTATTGATACATGACTAGGAAATTATATATTCTTTACTTTTACAACATTCTTGGAGCACTTAGCCTATGGTTAACATTGCTAAGTTACTTCCATGTACCATCTATTTTAATCCTCATAACAATTCTATGATGTAGTTTTGGTCAGTACTCTTATTTCACAGATGATGTTATGTTGCTCAATAGCCAGTATTCAAACTCTCAAACCAACATTTTTTCTGAATCTAGAGTATAAGATCTTACTGGGTAATAAATATATTTTTCTGAACTGTCACTACAATTGAATGTAGTATCCTCTAACTCATCCCTTATGGATAAGAATAATTTTTACATTTATTTCAAACCTCACTTCACAAATATTGAAAGGATCACTTAAAAACATTTGTAAGTTGTGTCAACACATACCTTCTTCTACTTTCTTCATCAAGTTGTCAAGTAAGATTTTCTGATGTTCTTCACCATCATTAAAACTATATAATGCCCACTTCTTCAACAGAGTTTCTCCTTCACCACAAATATCAATCTCCAATAACCCTGGAAACCACTCTTCCATGAGAGAGTCAATGTGGTCCACAACTTGGCCCAAAAGAATACAGCCTACATAATCCAAAGAAGACTTCATCAACACCCTAGCTGAACCTTATTCTGTCACAAAACTGGAAAGAACCTTATTCTGTCACAAAACTATAAAGTTTTTTTTAAAAGGTTAGATTTCTTTAGTGGTACAATTCAAAGTTTTTAATTAATTTCCTTACCTTTTCTACAAGAAGGAACTGTAATTTTTAAGAAACTCTCTGGGTGATTATCTAAGACTTCAGATCCTACCAAGCAATAAGCTTCAGGAGACCAATTCAAGTAGATGCCTTGTCGCCAATACATTCTGTTTGGGCGAAGTGCTCGTTCTGAAAGAAGTTTAAATGAACCCACATATAGCCATTAATTATTAGCAGCTCCATAAATTAAAGGGGAAAAATTCACTGCACACACCACAAATGACAGTAAGAGAGATATATTTGTTTTGAATGAAAGTACTGGAATCGTTAATGATATGAGTCCCCATCCATATCTATTAAATATAATATTAAATATTTTATCCTCAAGTTTGGAATGAAGTAAATAAAATGCCCAGTATACAACCTAAGATAGATTTCAGGTTCATGATGTTAAGTAGTTTAGTATGTGTAATAGATGAAGAAAGAGAATCATAAATAACTTCCCATAACTTTTAAAAAGAGGTTGGTGGTCATGCTAAAACCAACACTTTGATGTGATGTAACTTTCTATATGTCGATTAACTGCAAGAACATAAGGTTTACTTCAGAATACAGTACCACCTCCATAAAGCTGATTTTTAAGCACATAAAAAGTTATATTTTCCCTTTGGAGCACTAAGATCTCTCTTTCTTCCAGAAGGAAGAGCTAGCATTATAAACACCCATTTTTATTCTTTTTTGTAAACCCCTCAGGGATTGTGCAGCAGGATAGAGCTATTATAGTCCCTACACAGAATGGTCTGAATGGTCAGGAACTGTTACACTGTTAAATAAAACTCCCTGACAGCAGTGGTGGCCATTCCTAGTTTTTCTTTGCGTGCACGTGCGTGTGTGTGTGTGTGTGTGTGTATGTTTGTGTGTATGTGCAGGTTGGGTGGGTGTGTTTAAACTAATGATGCTTACTAATTTCACCTTTTAAAATTGCTAGTCTGCTTTGGCTTGCAAAGCGAGATAGTCATAGGCATTGTAAGTGTGTCTAAAATAAGCACACATGGGCTTTGAGGAATTTTCTTCTTAACAAATTGCATGAATTTATTTGAGTGTATGTCTTTATATTGGCCACTCTGAGGTCTTTTGAGCTTATTTTCTGATTTTCAGCTGCCTTACAAACAAGTAAACTCTGGGAAAATGACATTAATTTTAATATGCTTTCCTCCTAACTTCTCTAAATATTAATTCTTCATTAAATACATACCTCTTCCTGAAAGCATGTAAGGTGAAATTTCAAGTAATCGATTGATTAATCTCGACCAAAAGCCCATTGGAAAATAAGGCATTTCATACAGTCGAATGATAATTTCAGAGTTCTCACAATGGGGAAGCTCTATTACAGGCCTGTGGTCCGACAAACTAAAGATAAAAGGACACTGTCATTATACAGCTTCATAAAATACCCAATCATGTTGACCAAAGTGCTTTACTACTTGAAATCAATGAATTGAAGATAAATATTCTAAGCAATTGCACTTTTTATAATGTTCTTTCGCTACATGCTCTTATTACTCAAAATTTAATGGTTATTTAATTAATTCAAATGCATGATCAGATGTAGATGCATGAAATTTTTTCAATAATCTTATTTATACTATAAATAAATTATTACAGTTCGTTATGCATAGACAAGTAAAGGGATTATGTAAAACTTGAAAAAAATTCATGTCCTAGCAAAGAGTTATATCTATTTTTAGAATTAGTTACCATCCATCAACCAATGCAATTTGCACTTTTCAATGTCATATTACTTTATAACATTTCCCAGGTGCTTATAAAGCAGTAAGAATTTCTACAGTACAGGGCTATAACTTAGGCCTCCATTGTGTTGCCCATACCTCTGAAAATTCACAGCCATAAATTATTTTAAGACTATGTTGAAAACTCATTATATCCCCAGAATCTGCCTAATAACTCTTCCAGTACCATGTAAGGACACACACACACACACACACACACACACACAGACTTATCTCCACTATTAACCTTTATTAAATAAATTAGGCAGTGCTAAATCAAATAGTAATTATATACATAAAATCAGTCATTTACTGTATCTTTAAATGTCAAATTTAGTGTTTTCATTAAAAGAAAATGTTATACTTCAGTACAAAGTTTACACAAGAAAAAAAATTAGTACATTTATCACAGACCAAAGTTACTTTGAATACTAAAACAATATAATATATGGTGAATTTCCATAGGGTAATTAAATTTTAAGTTTTGGCTTACCTGCTTGGAACCAGCAAATATTCTTCTCCTGTTGGCAAGGCAATCTGGAATTTTTCTAAGAGTTTAAAGTACTGTGACATGTAGTTCTTTGGAAATCTCTTTTTCTTTGAAAGAAATTTTTCCACATCTCTACGTGAAATAATTCCCTTAGGATGTTTTGGACAGCCCTCCACTTTCACTGTCAAAATCTGAAAGATTTAAACTTATACATAATCACTAAAATTTATCTTCTGGAAAGTTTTGAATTTAAAACATTTCCTGTGCTCAGTAAAAATGATTAAAACAATTTTAATGTTGTCAAGTACAACACAGGACCTAATTTCTCTAGCTAGCAGCCAGGTAGCCTAGAAGCCCGGTGGGGCATGTACTCCCTACACACACAAAAAAAATTTATTAAATTAAGGGAGTTAATTCAGATCAGAAATTCTGGAGATCCTCTGAAACCAATGAACCACAAGCCTTCCCCAACTCCAATTAACACATCAATCCAGTACTCCACATCCTTGTTACAGTCTCATCAATAGTATATTCCTAGGGAAATTATCTTCCAGACTGTGTTATCACTACAGTTTTGCAATAGAAATGTTACTTTACATTTATATAATAGGAGATGGTTTCCATCAGCGAGAAGAGAGGTAGCTTAGCACATTTCAGTGATTCTCAAACAAAGTAAGTAACCCCTGAATTTCGCTGGACACCACTCAGTCTGGATCAGTAGGTCTGAGATGAGGCTTGAGAATCTGCTTTTTTAACAAGAAACTCTGATGATTCTAATGTGGAGACCATACTTTGAGCTTTGATCATCATCATAACAATTAAAAATATAAGTTCAGAAGAACTCAGGTTCAAATCCAGGCTCTACTGCCAATTGTGTGACCTTGGGAAAGATATTTAATTTCTTTACCCCCAGTTTCCTTCTCTGTAACATAAGATAATAAAAGTGACTGTCTCTTAGATTGCCATGAGAACAAAATAAGATACACATAAAACATGCAAAATACATACAACAATTTTTAGCAAATAGCAAGCCCTCAAATGTTAGCCATTATCTACATATTCCTATTCATTTTACTTGGCCAAATTAATTTTAAAAAGAGATTTGTGCTTAATTTTCTTTAGCAGATCTATAATGTTTAAGGGATACTTAAATAGGAACAAACATTATTTACATTATCATGTAGCTGGGTAAAATACTGGACTGTAAAATCCGTAGGCCCGAGGACTTGTCTCACTCAACACTATATTTCTATTTTGTACGTATACCGTCATTGAATCAATGAATGCATGACTGATTGAACATAATGATATCTAATGCAATGTATAATGGGTCATTAAATAATAAAAACTATAATTTGGGACTTCCTCCATATTGTATAGTTTATAGCCCAAACTGCTCTTACAATTTAGGTAGTGAAGAAAACTGCTGTTCTAGTGTTTTTAAAGTTGCTAAGACCTGTCTGACAAACTCACTCTCTACCCCCAGCCATATTTTATATTTTCTTTGAAGCATTCTGTACCACCTAACATGTTAAGGATCCATGTTCTGGTTATTTCCTCCCATTTGAACGTCAACTCCATGAATGCAGGAAACTTGTTTTGTCTACTGCTATCGCCCCAGCACCAGAACAATATCTGGAACATCATTAGGTGCTGAATAAATACTGTTGAATTCATGAACTGGGGGAAAATAAAGTTTGGAGCATTTTATCCTAGGGTTAGGTTCATAGGCACTGGAGTCAAACCACTTGGTTTGAAATCATAACTCTAATTCTCCCTGAATATGGAGTCAAACCACTTGGTTTGAAATCGTAACTCTAATTCTCCCTGAATATGTAATTTTGGATAAATTATTTAACCTCTCTGTCCATAAATTTCTTCATCTTCAAGAATGGGCACTAATAAAGTACCATTTAAAAGAGTTGTTCTGAGAATTAAATGAGATAATCTTTGAAAAGCATATAAGTAACCTCTCATATGTCAGCCATTATTGTATACTTATTCTAATTTATTTTACTTAGACAAACTGATTTTATTTTATTTACTTTTTTTTTTGCAGACAGGAAAACCTTTTATTTTAAACCACAAATAGCACGTGGCCACAACTATCCATGTTTCATTAAAATCACATAAAACCTAGGTACAAAAGCACCACTGATTATTGCTCTAGAAAAACTGCATGAAAAAATTCAAATACACACAGTAAAAACACCACAGTATGCACAGGACTAAATTTTTAAAGCAAGTGCATGGAATGGTGAAACAATTTTACAGACAGCTTCCTATACTAAATTGGTATTTATTTTACTCAAGGATGATGGGAATCTCAAAAAATCATGACTATGAGAAGGTAAAATGTCCATCCTTATATATTTTTGTATGCCAACTAGTAGAGTCCTAAAAAATTAGCATTTACAAAATACTCGGTAAAAATAGCTTTTAAAAGTTGTCCCAAGAGGTACATAAAATCAACCCCAATTTTCATGACAAATCATTCTCCTTCGTTTACAGATTCAGCTTTCTGTGCCTTCCTTTCCAGCTTCTTGCTTTTCCTCCTTCTTCCCTTTCCCAAGAGGTACATAAAATCAACCCCAATTTTCATGACAAATCATTCTCCTTCGTTTACAGATTCAGCTTTCTGTGCCTTCCTTTCCAGCTTCTTGCTTTTCCTCCTTCTTCCCTTTAGCACCTTTGTTAACCTTTGTTGCCAGTTCTTTCTCAGTAGGGCTAATGTGAGGATCTATGCATAGGATAAGGGCCTTAGCAGATGTTTTTCTTGGTTTAGGTTCAGGTTTTGGGGGGAGCAGTTTTCGCTGACAACCTGGCAGACCATCTGGTGGGCTCCTGTTTAGTTACTTTGGATTCATCCTTGCCCTCTGGATTCTCTGGAGACTTTCTCTTCGGCATAATGACTACATTGGTGCAGCTAAAAAGTAAAGCAAAGGGCTGGAACTGCTGGCACCGCCACTGGATGCTCCCCCTGCTGCAGCTGTTTACGCCCAGGGCTTGGCGTAGCCAAGCCTCCGACAAACTGATTTTAAAATAGAAGTTTGTGCTTGATTTTTTTAGTAGATCTATGCTGCGCTACCACTATCTGTAGCAGATAGTTTCCAGAGATGGACACATTAATTTTTTCTCTCCCTACATATGTGGGCTGCTTAATCCTTCAAGATATAGAATCCATCCACATCCCTGAACAAGACTTGTGGTTGCTCTGCTCACTAGAATGTGGCAGAGCTGACATTTTACCAGTTCTGGGCCTGGCCTTTAAGAGGTCTAGGCATATATGAGAGACCACATGGAGGAGCACCAACACACCAAAAATGTGAGCGTAGCCTTCTTGGACTCTCCAGCCCAGCTCAATGAGGAAGCCAAGCGAACGACCCCTGTCAATGCCATGTGGAGCAGAACCACTTGGCTGAACCCAGTCAACCCACAGAAGAGTGAGAAACAATAAGCTGTTGATGTTTTACTCCAAGTTTACTTGTGTACGCTAGGTTTTCGGGTATTTTGTTATGTAGCAATAAAAAACTGAAACCTTATCTTAATTTTATCACCTTTAAAAGACCTCTTATTATTCCTTCAGCCTGGTAACTTCTAAGGCTAACTTATGCCCTTGTGCAAGGAAAGAAAATTTTCCAAATTTCTCACACAACTTTTTATCAAGATTAAATTGCCATGCAAGTTTTATAATACTCTACCAGTAAGTTCTTTCATATCTCTTTTATCATATAGTTAAATGAGTTTTGCAAATTTCTCTGTGTGTTGATAGAAACTTTAATAATTTTAGTGACCTAACAGCTCTGGGCACAAAGAGGGTGGCTGGGCTCATTAGAGCTTCGACACCATGAAATTATTTCTTCCCTTGTCTTGATGACTCACTTGGAGGTGAATAACCCTATTTATTTTTGCTGGTTTGGTGTCAGGCAGATCATTCTGTCTTCACGTGATTACTTATGGCTTTCATTCTCTTTAAACCTTAATAAAAATGACATATTTCAGTATATTGCATAAATAAAAATGAAGGCATTTATCTTTTACATCAAGAAATTTTACTGACCCTTTAGATCTATCTTTCAAAATAACTTGAGCTGTTCAAATTCTTGATTTAATTTTCAATTAAATTAACATGTTTATAGTATAACTAATGGTATAACTATGCTAATGAGAACTTTCATGGAGTTTCAACTTAATTACTCTATAGTATCTTCAGGGATTTTATTGCATTATGATGGAAATTTGCTTCTGTTAAAAGATAGTGATTCTGATGGAAACCACTTTGTTATTCTATTGAATAAGATGTACCCACTCTAATATTATCCACATGTGTGCAACTTTAAATAGTCCCAGTTCACATGGAAACACATCACTTTTTGGTGCAACTTTAGCCTTTTCTTGACTATACAGAGTTCAGTTATTTTCTAATAGAGGTGCCACCTAACAACAAATCTTCAGGGTATAATTAAAACTCCCTTTTCTACACAGAGTGCATATAACTACACATATTGTTTTATTTAGCTCCATACCTGGCACACTTTCCAAAACTACATGAATATATCTTTACAGTTTTGAAGATTTTTTTTAATTTCCTGAAATCATAAGTCTTTAATTACCAAATAGGTCAAATATAAACTTTTGCTAAAACTTACTATTCACCTATACTGAACTAGGGAGGCAATGTAGAAGATAATATTGTTATTACCCTTATTTTACAAGTGAAGAAACAAAAGCTTAAAACATTAAGAAATCTCAAAGTGAGTAAGGATTTAGGAGAGACCTGAACACAGGTCATGCTGACTCTAGAGCTTGTGCTCCTGACCACTATACCTTCCTGGCTCCATTCTCATCAGGTAGAGGAGTAAAATCACACTTTCCATGGCCTATGTGCAGAAGGATGAAAATCTACTTTAAAAATATCTACCACATGGGCTTCCCCGGTGGCGCAGTGGTTGAGAGTCCGCCTGCCGATGCAGAGAACATGGGTTCGTGCCCCGGTCCGGGAGGATCCCACATGCCGCGGAGGGGCTGGGCCTGTGAGCCATGGCTGCTGAGCCTGTGTGTCCGGAGCCTGTGCTCCACAACGGGAGAGGCCACAATGGTGAGAGGCCCGCATACCACAAAAAAAAAAAAAAAAAAAAAAATCTGCCAGAATAGTAATAACTGTCCTATTACAATTAATTGCCAATTGCAATGTTTCAATACATTCTCAAGTTCTGCGGTATAGGATTTAGCCACAAATGAGTTCCCTCTTTAAAATATCTTTCTTATTCTTCCTTAGATGAAATTTAGGAACTATTATTCAAGATTACCTGAGGGAATTTAATTACCATTATACTTGATTAGAAGAGAGATTTCTGGGGCTTCCCTGGTGGCGCAGTGGTTGAGAGTCCGCCTACCGATGCAGGGTACACGGGTTCGTG